AAAAAAAAAAAAAATGGGTCAATGGAAAGCGGTCGTACAGCGTCTTGTATTATCGCGATAAATCTTCTTGTGCGATTTCACCGTCCATGTTTTCTTACAAGCGCCGCTCGAACTATACACCTTGTACGTTCCTCATTTCAAAGAGTCAAAATAAAAGTAGCAAATTTACTCGCAACACTGATTTAAAACACTCAAAAAGTTCCACTTCCTTCGAAAATGTTTGGTACTTTTTCGTTAGATATTTTAAAGAAAAATAAAGTATTCTTAGAGATTTAAATGGCTTTTCATAGAAATCTTGCGAAGCACATTGTATTATAAAGTCTCTCCATTTCTTTACTTTTCTCTGATGGGAAATTCTACATTTCTTTCGTTAATAATTCTAGCAGAATTGAAAAAAAAAAGAGAAGATAATAATCACAGAGATGACGATGACGATCCATGTACCATCCGGAGGAGACGATACCGATGCATTGCGCGGACCTGCTCCATGCTGGTGGTCGCCGAAGAATCTGCATCGTGTCCAATGACATTCCTCGAATCACCAAGGGACAGGCCGGTCAGCATGAAGAATCGAGCGCGAACGACCTCGTTCCCTCGATCGTTTGCCCCCGACGACGACGCGATTGATTTACGACGACCGCTTGTTTCGAATTAATGGACAGGCTCGCGCCCTTTTCCCCCGAGAAGGAATTTTTGCACGCTTTCTAGGAATCTGTCTCCCGTGAATCGCGCGAACGATCTTCAACCGACTGAACCTTTCCTCCCGGCGACGAGATGAAAAATGATCGTGGAGGTGGAAGGCGCGACTGTTTTCCTCGCGAAACAGAATTTCAACCTTCTTCTCTCCTTCTTGCTCTTGTTAAAGCAGCAATTATCACGCACAGGGATAGAAACGTTGTTTCACGTACGCGCGAGAGGAGTCGTTGGATCGCATTTTCGTGAAACAGGGTCTGAGCAATATGGTTTCCGGTAATTAAGTTGCTGAAATCGTTAATGGGAGATACTCGAATTGGGACGAATATATAAAGTATATGTAAAATGGTTTCGTAACAACTGGTTTACCAACAGTTTATCATCCGTCGATCTTTTTTGTAAAATGGATGAATTTAGATGGAGATTCGTTGGTATCTAATTAGAAGAGGGCACGATAATTGATGCAAAAAGTGCGGCTAGAATTCAACGTTGAATATTACGCGCGCGAGAGTCGAGTTGTAAAAGATACATTTGTGACCTTGACATGAGATATGAATGCGGAGGCACGTGACATGATCGACGATTTTCCAGGTGCATTTGTATGCACCGTGCACTCTATCTAATTGCAATCAAGAATCGAAAATGTGATAAAACCGCGAGGCAAAGTATCGTTTAAAATATTACGAAACTCATTTGAGATACGCGCCAGGATTAAAAAGTAACTAATGAAAAATGGACTGGCAAACGAGATGAAATAAAATAATAAGCAGAAACCAAGGGATATAAAAGGCTATTCTACTCTGTTCTTCAAAACTGAGAATTTCCACAGATGCAATTAATCTTCTAATTATCCGCGCGTCGCGACGACAAAGCAAAACGAAAGCACGGATTATTCGATCCGGTTAGCACAATACGCTCGGTCACTCCCCATTCGGATTCGCCTGAATTTCGCGGCAACTTAACGCTTGGTGGCCTAATGAGGCTCGTTTAACGAGACCCAGGCGAAACATCTGCCGTGATCGATGTTATAAATAACGATTTAGCGGCGATGAGGCGCGGCAAAGCGACGCGCCTCACCATTCGTTGCGCAACGTTTCAATTAAGAGACCTGCTTCTCCATGATCCTTTCTTCTTTCTCGCGTTTATAATGGGAAATGTCGCGAGAGGCACGTTCATCGGCAGACGTTTACCGAGAATTAGCGCGAGCGAGACAGTAAATCAACGGGCCGTTAACGAGAATGGAAAATGTCGGAATCGGCTTCCTCTCGGCCCCTCGAGAGATCAACGACCGTGTATGTATATAAGTACCTGTGTATATTCTGTCGGCCAAGGAAGTTCCGCGCGGCGTAACGATCATGTAACAGCCGATTATTTCACGGGGCAGTCGAGCAAAGACCGGTGAATTAATTGTTACGCGAGTACCGACAATTGCAAGCCCCGTTCTCCCAGCATTTGCATACAGCTGTGTGTAATTGTTATCTGAACGCTCGGTACTGCGAAGAATTTCTTTTCTTTTTTTTTTTTTTTTTTTTTTTTAATAGATCAGATAAAAATTTTTACTACTTCTCTTTCTTCTTTACTAATATGTATAATCGTTGCTTGAATTTTGTATGGTTTTTTTGTATATAGTTCTTTTAAACGTGCTTTTATTCAAGGGAACTCGAAGGACTCGTGAGAATAATTTGCAACAATGAATTTTCGTAAAGAAAACGATCTTTCCCAATTATATGAGACTGTTTCCTCGAGGCAGAATCTCAAGTATACGGACCGTATGCGCAACTGTTGAAAGTCAGTGAAAATCTTTCACGCAGGCAAAGGTTTCAACGCGTCACCTCGTTATAGCTAGTTCGTCGCAGCGACTAGTAGAAGTATGAAACCTTGCGTCGCCAGAACAGGTCTAACTATTAACTTCGTGACACAGTTGCGGCTAATTTGAAACGATAAATTCCGATTTAGTCGAAATTGCAGGTTTAATTCCTAAGTCTATTTTCTCCT